CCCAGCTCCCCGCGTCTTTCATTTGCACCCCTCCTTGCCCTTCCAAGGGCAAAGTAGTGCTTTGCCCGAATCGGTTTGTCTTGTCTCCCGCTTTGTCCAGCCATCGCCTGCACACTCTTTTCCAGCCGCTTGAATGCCACGCGGCAGACATGCGTCGCGGGCGCAAGATTACGGGCGTGTGGCGTGCAGCGTTGGCTACCACAGTGGAGCGATTTTTACCGCTGTCGCTCGTTCTGAGGTGCGCGGCGTGTCTCTCAGGCCTCAGCTAAGTGTACACCGTGTGATGTTACTGTTGACGAGCGAGGTTGCATTTCGGTACAGGGGGCGCTGTTTTTCCCAACCATCCTGTGGTGTTGGATCCTCTTTTGAAGAGCCCTCCCCCCGCGTCACTCCTTCCTTCCTTCGTTACTCCTACCCCTCCTCCTCCTCCCTCGTCCATCAGCATCATCAGCATCAGCATCAGCATCACCATCATCATCACCTTCATCGTCATCATCAGCGACGTTCCTCTCCTCCTCCTACTCATCGTAATCATCAGCATCATCATGCTCAACATCACCAATCTCGTTTTCGTCATCGTCATTATCAGGAGCGTCATCGTGATCAGCACCTGATCTTCTGCTCTCCTTATCTTCATCTGCATCACAATCATCATCAACATCATCATCAACAACATCAACACCATCAGCATTAGCATCGTCAGCATCACCACCAGCATCAGCATCATCACCATCATCAGCAACAGCATCAGCATCAGCAGCATCAACATCACCATCGCCATCACCAGATCATAATCAGCACCATCATCATTAACATCATCATCATCAGCAGACCATCATCGTCAGCTGCGCCATCATGATCAGCACCCGGCTTCCTGCTCTCCGCATGTCATCCCTCACACGTTCCGTGGCCCCATAGAGAGCTCCACCGAAGGCCCCAGTGCCACCGCCCGCATGCGTCACCCCCACCCATTGCAGCGCTTCGTGGCCCCATGGGGAGCTCCACCGAAGGTCCCAGTGGTGCTGTCCGCATGCGTTACCTCCCTGCGCTTCGTGGCCCCATGGGGAGCTCCACCGAAGGCCCCAGTGCCACCGCCCGCATGCGTCACCCCTACACAGTACAGCGTTCCGTGTCCCCATAGGGAGCTCCACCGAAGGTCCCAATGGCGCCGCCCGCATGCGCTACCCCCACCCAGTCCGAAGGTCCCAGTGGCACCGCCCGCATGCGCTATACCCACCCATTGCAGCGCTTCGTGGCCCCACCGAAGGCCCCAGTGGCGGTGTCCGCATACCTTTTTCCCCCACCCAGTACAGCGCTTCGTGGCTACATGGGGAACTCCTCCTAAGGCCCCAGTGTCGGTGTCCGCATGCGCTACCGCCTAGTGCAGCGCTTCGAGGCACCATAGGGAGCTCCACCCAGGGCCCTAGTGGCGGTGTCCGCATGCGCTTCCCCCACCTAGTACAGCGCTTCGTGGCCCCACATGGAGCCCTACCGAAGGCCCCAGTGGCGGTGTCCGCATACCTTTCCCCCCACCCAGTACAGCGCTATGTGGCCACATGGGGAACTCCACCGGAGGCCCCAGTGGCGGTGTCCGCATGAGCTACCCCCACCGAGTGCAGCATTTCGTTGTCACATTGGGAGCTCCCCCGAAGGCCCTAGTGGCGGTGTCCGCATGCGTTCCCCCCACCTAGTACAGCGCTTCGTGGCCCCATAGGGAGCCCCCCCCCCCTCGAAGGCCCCAGTGGCAGTGTCCGCATGCGTTTCCCCCACCCAGTACAGCGTTATGTGGCCCCATAGAGAGGTCAACCGAAGGCCACAGTGGCGGTGTCCGCATGCATTTTCCCCCACCCAGTGCAACGCTTCGCGGTAAGGAAGTCTGTTGGTTTCGAGACGAAGTATGGCCAAGCCTAAGCTTTCAACAAAGCTGTTCCCTCCTCAGATTATTCCCTCGTGTTGCAGTGTGGCGAGTTTCTGGGTATGCGGTAATTCGCGCGAATGGCCTGTACGTCGTGTCGAGCCTCGCTGTCGCCACCCGCGTCTACCATCCTTTTCCGCAGCGCCATACCGGCTTGATGATGATGTGTGTGCGTGTGCGTGTGCGTGTGCGTGTGCGTGTGCGTGTGCGTGTGCGTGTGCGTGTGCGTGTGTGTGTGTGTGTGTGTGTGTGTGTGTGTGTTTGTGTTTGTGTTTGTGTGTGTTCGGCGCATTTGTCAGCAAACGAAGCACGCCGGGCGAAACGGGGAGCTTCGTTGTCTCAGAGGCCGCGCCGGCTGCCTTCAGCCCCCCCCGGGCTGAGCCATCATTACTTCGGGATAGCCTGTGGGGCCCATATTGGGTCGCCTCGGGGACGTGCTGAAGCCTCCGTGGTCGCCCTCGGGCCGTCTTGGACACTCTCGGAGCTATCATGGCGACTGACTATGGGCCCCCCTCTTGCTGGCATCCTGGGGCCGCCTGCGACCCTCGTCGAGGCATCCTGGGCGATCTGGGCGCCATTAGGGGG